TTATTGCTATTAAAAAAAGACCAAAGCTGAGAGGAAAGCAGGGGTTGTTTTTTTCGCCCCTCCATCAAAACAGATTTTCTTCTTTAAAATGCACCGTTTCCTTCTGACACCTCACACAGACCTAAATTAAAGCTGTAAGAGGAAATTTGCCTTTGGCTTGTTACAAGTAAAGCTTTCTTGGCTGCTACATGTGTCCGTTTTAAAAATGCACAGCTTTTTCCTCTAAAAATCGAGTTGTCTGCAATCAAAATCAATACGAGACTGCGCAGAATTAAGGTGCAATTAATTTGCCTTCTTTTCTTCAGGATGAGATTGATTTAATGGTGACTGAGGTGTCTGAGAGGCAGCAAATATTAAAAAGCGCCGGTGAGCAGAAAAAACAAAACAAAAAGGAGGAATCAATACTGACTGTGGCAGCACCGTTGACCTGCACCGATTTGCTTGCAGTGGACAGAGTCCCAGGAACTCGCTCCACAGACAGCTGCACCTCCTTCGGCTTCACCTCTGTCACCTTCACCTCCCTGGAATAAAGAAACATGAGCCAACAGCATTAGGGTGGAATAATGAATTTAACATCATTTAGGAGGTCTGCAGTCCTCGAAACGCACATAATGGCTAAAGAAGTGATCAGTGCAACACGAAGAGGCAAACTGATGACTGTAATAAGACGAGATCTAATCAGAAAGCTCCTCCTAACCTTAATGTGGCCAACCTAATATTCAACATTATCTTCTTGTGCAGCTCAGGACTTTGTTTTCTCGCAGACCTAAGTTTAAAGAAACAAAGCCTTGGTAATATCTTAGGAGGACTCATTTTAAACCACTAGGAGTTCGGAAGATGTCCGTGTGTTGTGGTTTACACATTTGCTTAAGAAGCAAGCGAAAGGTCCCCGGTTTGCTCCCAGGAGCAGACACGAATCCCTTTGGCGAAAAATATTCACTATAAAAATTCTACCTTATAAAACATCCGGAGCTTCCCGCTGTGGCAACCCTCGTGAATAAGGGAGCGGCTGAAAGTCGCCTACCCATTTCAGGGTGAGAGAATGAAGCCTAATGGTGCCACATGACTAAAATGACACATTTCATAGCTGTGAGAAACTGTCACAGTGCCATTGCAGGTATGGTGTGTGGCTGCCTTTCCAGTTCTGTAGTTAATACCCCTAATTTCCATTTTCTGTCACGTTTACTTCCTATAATGATCTGAAATAGGCTCACGAGCTTCCTGGAAAACGCTGCGTCTTTACCTGCAATGTCAGGCTGTTCTCGTGGGTGGATGGCACCTTTCCTGTCACATCCTCTCTCTCTAAATCGTAGGCTATTATGTTACACGCTTTTCTTAACAGATACTAGAACCATTATGATAATTAATGACAGCATTTCAGTGAATGCTGTGTATGTTCGCAGCCTTATCTTCTACCCTACGGCTGTCAGTAAATGGCTTTTTACAGACTCTGCTCTACGTGCTGCAGTCAACAACATCTGAGTGCTTCTTACGTTACTGGGAGGGAGGGAGCGGGACTGTGCGGCGTGCCAGGGGAAGGGGTCAGCGTCGAGGCGGGGGTCGTGGTCGGGGTGGTCGGCGAGGGCTGGAAGGTTGTGGCCATCGGGGACGTTGAGGACCGGAGAGGCTCTTTGGGACCCGCTGGGGAGAGAGTGCCTCCACTACTGGACTCAGCACTTACATTCTGCAGTGACATCAAGCAAACAGCAAGCAGCAGAAATGACGTATTACAGCAAGTTCTTTTCATTAGCAGAAGGAGAAGTTCTTTACAGGTGAGCGTATATCAGTGTACAATGAAAAAGCAGGACCAGTAGCTAAAGTTGCAGTGTTGGTGGTGCCTTCCTAAAGCCTTCTTTATACTTGTGCTGTTTTTCCATATCATAAAGAAATGCTAGATTAATGCTCCATATGGTGAGCCAACACACTCGAGAATCAGATTATTACTCTCAAGAGTCTCACCTTTACTTTGAGGAAGATTAAAAAAAATAGTAAAGAGTTTTCCAACATATTTCAAGGTACGTCTGTGAAGGTTCTCAGTCATCCAGGTCATCGTAGTCTAAGGAGCTTGGAAAGAAAAGCGTCTGGACTTCTTTAAATTGTTTGAAGACGTTTCACCTCTCATCCAAGAAGCTTCTTCAGTTCTAGGGTCAAAGAGGCGGTGGTTTACAACAACAGTCTGCCATCTATAATCCAGTTTTGAGTTCCCTTCCCAGACGCCTTAACGCCCACTCACATCCTGGGCCTTCTGACCTCAGGAAATCACAAGATAGGGTGGGGCTAGGTTTCATAATGAGCTTACCCGAAACCCTGGCTGACTGTGACCCACACCTGTTTTCACACCTTGGCTCATGTGATTAGGTAGAGGGGGGACCACCACAGGGATTAAATCTGGGACTCTCCACCATTTGACCTTAGAACTGAAGAAGCTTCTCGGATGAGAGGTGAAACGTCTTCAAGCAACTTAAAAGTCCAGACGCTTTTCTTTCCAAGCTCCTTAGACTATTTAAAGGTATCGTTGCAGTTTGAACAGCCTGTTTTGTTTTTAGGAAGTGCCTGAGTCGAGTCACCATGAAATATCTGCGTGGCAGCCGCAATAAGAGCTGGATGAATTCTCTATTCTTTCTAACACTGGGGCACCTTTTATGAAACAATTCAAAATCATGCATCAAAACCATGCTGACCCTTCACAAAAACAAATCACCAACATGGCTGATGTGTGTTGTGTGTGGATTACTGTCATACTTTCATGCTGTGTGCTGAGTGGCAGCTTGTCATGGTCACTCCCGATTGTTTTTTCTTTAAGAAAAATCGTATTTTTCTTTTGCACGCTCACTGCTCTCCTCACAAAAGTAAAACCGGCAAAATGGCGCTTCCTGGAGCAGGCGCTGTGATTGTACCCATCTTTACCACAAAACCTGCGTCTATTATCATCTTTGCTAACCAAGCACTTTACTGTATTATATTTTGTTTATACTAGAAGATTTAATTTAATATAACAATAAACCTCCAGGGCTTATTGGAGTTTACATTTATTCATGCATAATTTAACACACCACTGACAAACCTATAGCTCAGTTTGAGTTTAGCATCAGTTCCTACCCGTTCCTTGGAGTTTCCGACGACTACGCTGCTGGCCAGTCGGTTGTCAAAGACGTCGTCAGTTTTGAGCTGGCCGGCTGCTCCGGGCAGAGGAGGGAAGCTGGAGAGACCGAGCTCGAAGCTTGGAGATGGAGGTTTTGGAGGCGGAGGCGGCGACTGAGGCGTCACTCTCTACACAGAGGCAACAAAGAGTCAGGAAACAAAACAGGCTTCGATTCACTTTCAAGATGTAAGGAATACATAAGTACTAATCTTGGTTTGCTTCCTTTAAACTGAGCATAAACTCACAGAAAAACTGTGGAATTTAAAGTTTGAAAAGAATCAGAATGACGAGGATAAAAATCAGTACTTACTGTAAACTTTTCGTCCCTCTTTTTCCTAGAAGCAGAAACATTTTTCCTTTAAGAAAAAGAACATCTCAATTTACAAACATCCGTTCTATCTAAAAACACCGACTTCACCTTACACAACGTCACCTAGAATTAATTAGTTGAGACTGAAAGATTTTAATAGGTTGGAACCAAAGACGTGAAACGTGAAACATGGCCACAATCTCCCCTTCTGTTCCTCAGTTGGTGCACAGAATCGTGATGGCACAAGGAGGTTGGCCTCCTGGATATGAAATGTCACCACTTCATCATTTTATCCAGATACATGCAAAACTTTTAGTAGCCGATTAATTTTTGAGGAACAGCCGAAACAGGGCAAAAAAGATATAATTCCAGATCCCATTAAACACAGAGACAAGTAAACGTAAAGCTTAAGATGTTGGGCCACCAGAACAGCTTCAAGTCCTCTAAAAGAAACTCGCTCATCTGCTGTTTTAATGGTGAGTCATTCTGGAAGCGATCGCTGGCAGCACGACATAAATGTTTCATCAGAGGATAAAGGTGATCACTCAGAACAGCTTTGGATAAGGTGTGGCCAAAAAGCTCCAAAACATTACCTCACTCAAATTTGGCTGATGCCCTGTTCAGTGTCATCATCTCTTAGTTTGTCCAGACAGCTTCCAATGCGGCTGCTATTCTTAGAAGTCCTGCTGTGCCCACTTACACTCTTTGCTCTGCAATTTAGCCAGACGGCAAATCTTGCCTTTCGTTTTAAAGTGACGCAAAATCTGGATGGAGGTCGATCACTGGTGATGGGAGCTGGGTCTCAGTTTAAAGTTAGTTTGTAAGACTGAACAGAGTGAGTCATGCGAGGAGTGAGAGCAGGAGCACGATTCGCCTCGCTTTTAGTTTTTCCACTTTCACAAAAATTGAATCCAGTTGAAGAATCGAGGCTGGCGATTGGTCCGACAGGGCCTCCGCCTGGGCTGCTGCCCAACACAAAGTGCTGCGGACGCTGTACCACAACGAGCCGGTTGAGGTGTATGCGAAGATGATTCTGAATGGGAGGTTGGCCAAATTTAAATCAGGTAAGGTTTTTCATTTTTAGAGCTCAATTTCCAAACATTTTGACAGCACTTTGTACTGACTGTTTCCCCTAAGAGGACCAAAACTTCAGGAAATGTGTGGCATCCCATTTCCAAAGACATTGTGTCCAAGAACAAAAGAGAATCACCTGAGCCTGTTTAGTTTACTCATGTTTTCACTTTAGGACAACCACATTCAAAGTGTCAGCGTGAACTGTTGAATTCCTCTCATAACACTTTGGAAACCTGCACTATCAGAGGGGAGTGGCAGAGTTATTGCTCTACACAAGTAAATGATCAGTGCCTGACCTTCCTCGGCCGATCCCCAGCGAGTAGTCTGTGGTTGCGGGCTCCGTTACTCGCCCCGTGCCCACAGTGTCCCTACGAGGGAAGGCTGCAGTGGAGGGTAACCTGGTTCTGGGTTGGCTGGTGGGGAGTCGCGTTGGCGGGCTGCTGCGAGCCCCATTGAGCCTCTCGCTGGGAAAGCTGGCAAAGAGGCTCGGGCTGTCCAGTAGCCCAGTGCTGCGATCCGCTGTGGGGATGGTCGGCCTCAGGTGAGGCTTGCTGTGATTCCTGCAGAAAAGGAAAACCTTCTGAGCCCATGTGAGCATTAAAACTTGGGTTTAAAGTGAATAATCGAACCCTGGGCCTACAATAAACTCATTCTGTGAAGGACCCCGCAAGTGACAGGTAAAACCAGATGGTGAGATTTGATTTTTGCGTTTGTGTTGCGTCTTCAGCCTTTGGAGGAGTAAAAATCTACAAACTCAGTGAAACTGGAAGTGGATAAATTATTTAGATACAATCATTTCCCATATGCTGATGGTTTATTTACGAAATACAAAAGGAACTGATTTTCTGAGATTTTAGCTGCACAACCATCTCTGGGGTTTACAGAGAATGAAAAACAGCACACATCCAGTGAGCAGCAGCTCTATGATCGAAAATGCCTCGTTGATGTCAGAGCAGAGTGGCCAGACTGCTTCAAGCTAACAGGAAGACGACCTGAACTCAAAAAGCCACTCATTACAGCTAAAGTACGCAGAAGAGCATCTCTGAACTCCTCAAGCCTCGAAACAGAAGAGCTAAAGCAGCAGAAGACGACACCTGGTGCCACTCCTGTCAGCTAAAAACAGAAAACTCACGTGGGCTCACCAAAACTGGACAACAGAAGACAACTTCACAGACTTTTACCCCATTAAATTCATATTGTAACAAATCCTTAATTTAAAAAACAACAACAAAAACAACCTCAAAACTTTGATAAGCAGGTAAATAATAATCATATGGTTAATCTGTCAATCACCCCTGAGATTACAAATAAGTAAAAACAAATGTTTTATGTTCTATGTTCGGTTTGTTTAAACACACATGGCCACACAGCTGTGTGTCATACACACAACATTAGTGGGTGAACAGCTGATCACACCCTGTGTGAGGGTGATGGAGATGTGCTGGGACGACTGAGGAACTTCCAGTGCCAGTTTACCTGGATTTATTATTCCAACAGCACGTACATTAACTACATTGTTCCACTGAACTATAACAAACCTGTTCCTGGGCGAGTAGTGTCTGACAGTGAGGGGCGACGTCGCTGGTTTGAAACTGTGAGATGTAAATCCGTTGATGAACTGGTTGTTGTGAAATGGAGTAACCTGGAGACAGAAAAACAGTTAAATAAGATGCATTTAAGTAACAAATTATTAAGCTCGTCGTGTGACTTTTGAACTTAATGTTTTCTAATGTAGTTGTTGATATTGTATGTTTATAAAAAGTGTTTTAAAAATGTGAAAGTCGCTCTAAACCTATTAATGCTTCATAGCACCAATTTAAACTGTTTATATTTAATAAAGCAGCCACTACAGAAAGCACAGTGTATTATTCAGACCGAAAAAGTCCATATTAAACACAAGTAACTAAATTTAATCCTGGTGCTGATCTGCTGGTCCTGATTTAATCTTAAATCCAAAAACAATTGTGAATTTACCGTTTTTGATACACAACCGAGCACCTGTTTGACTTCTTCTTTCCCAAATCCAATAAACAAACAGTAACTCATTCTTACCAGCGCGGGGTCGATGAAGCTGTGTGTGGCCGACCAGGCCTGCGGCGTGATGAGGCTGTATAACGGGAATTGCTGCTGGGGGCTGTAAACCGGCGGGATGTAGTAGGATGTGTAGCGCTGCTGAGCGTACGGGTTCACCTCCACCGGCCGGTAACCGTTCTTTGGTATGAAAGTGTTGATAGCGATTGCCTTCGCCTTTATCCTCGCCTGGTAGAAAGAGCCCGAACAGAGAGAGAAATTAGCACCAGCGCCCAAAAGAGAGATCGATATTATAACTAACTGCTAATACAGTTGAGGAAAAAATACAAATAAAAAAATAAATTTCTCAACCGTCTTCACAAAATTTGTTTGTTTCATCGGTTGTTAATAAATATTCATGTGTACCATGGGCTTAGAGGTAATGATCAACGTTTTTCAGCCAAATCTAAAAAAGTGTTTTAGTACAGAGGAATGCAATTTACATTTACACGCTTCATGTGGTCCTTAAATAACAAGCAGACCTCTGAATGAACCCCTTAAGCAAAAACCTGTGATTTGTGAGCTGTCTACAAAAAAGTTGGATGTGTGCTTCTCTGCTGATTCATTTTGCATGACAGGAGATAATATTTGACTTTTGAGACCACATTCATGAACAAAAGTGGTTTGAATATAGCTCAAAATGCATAAACTGACAGTGACGAGAGCCTGAAATCACCACCAGCAGGGTGCATCTGGTTCTCGAGCATCTCTTGATTTGCAAATAGTTTTCTTTCCAGCTCAGCCTCAAACCAATAAAATGTGAGCCTACCTTTATTGGCTTCCCTTGGAAGGTCTTCACTTCCTCACGGAGATATTGATATGCCTTTAAAACAAAGGAAATGCAGCACAGCATTAGTGACTTAAAACACACGAAGTTCACTGATAACTTTGATGCTTAAACTCAGATTTAAATACTAGTATAAATTACTAATGAAATCAAAACTGAATGAATGCATGAAATTAACTGTCCACATATACGGATACCTGCTGTGCATCTGCTTCTGATTCAAAAGTGATGAACCAGTTGTCATTGTAGGCAAATTCACAGTTGATAAACTTGGGTAAGTTGTCCCCCTTAAAAAGAGCCTCAACCTCCTGCAAAACAAGAGAAACTCATTTCATTCCACTGTTTCACTACAGATCTGCTACAACCCCGGTGGCCCAGGCTGGGCAGCAAGACTATGAAAAAATAATAATGAAGATCTATTCAGTTATGTTTCCCAATTACAGATTTGTTGTTGCCTTACATGTTTATTTTCAATAGAATCTGCAATCAGAACAGCTGCCCCCTGCTGGTCATAAAACAGCAGGTTTGAGGCACTTTGTATTGACGTCACGCTTCAGACCTGGAAGCTTCCTCCATCTGTCATTATTGTCTAATGGCAGATTAGATCAGTCTTTGCTATATGTGAATGATTTCATAGGTGGCCTCTTGTTGGCACAGCTTGCACCGTGGGAAATAAACTACACAAGTGCTGTATTAGTTTAACCTGAAGCAGCTTCATTCAAAATTACACCTTGAAGCAGAGAATGTGTCCAATATTAAGGCTATTTTCCATTTTCCAACTGGTTCTTCAAGCAGCCAGATTCACCTTCTGGTTTTGTTTTGTCATTATTATTATTGAACTCCACAGAGTACTAGTTTACACATTCTCTTAACAAGCAAAACAAAACCCCTTTTTTTTTTTTTTTTAGCTGCGCCATGAAGTGCATCACAGAGAGCTGCACTACTGGGAGACCCCTTGTTGCTTCTAGAGATGCTTATAATTTTTGGCAGTTTGATGAATTTACTTCATATCTGCCGTAAAGACAATACAAGCATGTTTTCCAATTTCTTCTCTCTGTGGGTGCAAAAAGCTTTAAAGAAGCCTTCACAAATTCCCGCAGGTTAAACTGGACCAAAGGTACATTATTACATTTAATACTCGTAAGATTTAGACTACAAACAACCCATAATTGAATAAGCTGCAGAAAACCACGTTTCGCTGCTCCTCTCTCTATATTTCACAACTAAATATGATGCTCTGAGCAAAATAACTAGTGTACTTTCCAGTATTAAGGAAATATGGGGAATGATGTGATAGAAAAATATTGTTTATATGAGCAGATCTATTTGACGTGGACTTTCTGCGGAGCTGAAAATGCACCGCTGTGATAACAGTCATTAGCTCGGAGTCAGCTGAACTGAAAATGTTCTGCCAGGCTGGGGCAGATAAGCGAGTTACTGATATCACACAAGACTCTGCAAATGTTTTACCTTCACTGCTCGACAGGAAAATGCTTCTCAATAACCTCAAAATGTGTGGTTTGTGGTGCTTGCTGGGAAAGGACGGGTCATGACTGGATAAAATCCCGACTTTGCATTTTGGAAAGGTGAGGTGTCTACCTTAAATGTCTACTCTCTGGTCTCCTTTGGAGTCACGGCACCTCGTTATCATGGTTTAATTAGCTTAATGTGTAACAGTGACAGCATTCTGCAGACTCCGCTTTAAGCATAACAGAGATTGATTTAAAAAATATCCAAGAACACGACATAAAACACACCAAATCCTAAATGAATCAAGGATACATGTAGAGTTACCTGTTCAGGCACATATGATAATTAAAAAACTAATAATTATGGTGACTGAGGCATAAGAATTCACTATATTAAGTTATGCATTCTAACAGAAACATTAAATAATTCAGAGTCTGTCGACTTCATCCATGTTTGAACTTCATTAGCAGAATATTTCCCCTGAATTCAGAAATGAGTAAAATATTAAAGAAGAACTAAATTTAATTAACTAAAAGTAAACATTTATCTACTTGCATTTCTATTTACATTCCCAGTTTAACTACTGGGACTGTAAATAGAAGACCTTCTAAACAAATGTGAACAGACCATAAAGGCAAACTATCAATAAGACACCCAGACCAGACTGGCGTCTACAGTGTACATAAGCTATGCTTGTGTTCTAGGCGTGAGCCATTTCCATGGAATAATAATGCTTCTAGTGTTTGTTGACTCATGACAGTAGCGTCAAATGACAGACGTGTAATTGGACATCCTGTTTCGGCACTGACCTCTATGGGCGTGCTCTCTGGAACCTCTCTGAGGATCACGATGCAGCGGTTCTGATTGGGTCGCACCTTTTCCCCCTTCTCATCCACCTGGACCAATGGCAAAGCTGCAGGAAGCCATAAAGAAAAGGTGTTATGGGCCATTTCAGGAAGGATCAATCAGTACATCCCACCTAATAAGCCCTTCAGAATCAGCTAGTTTATTACGTACAATAACTTTCACAGATCTAATGAAACCTTGCAAAATGTTCACCTTCAAACTATGAAACGTTTCCTGGTTATGTGTCCTGAAGGAACTCACAGGTGGGCTGAAATTCTGTGTGATCTGTTAATCTGTTTCTGAAGATTTTCTTTTTCTTTTCTGTGAACTTAAAGGCTGATATCACCGTGGCCACTGGTCCAAAAAAGTCAGACCACAAATCTACTTTCTGGATGCATTTTGGTGCACGACTCCTCTAACAGACTTCTATTTTAACATGTGCAGATGTGACTACACTCTGTGTGTAACAGATATTAAAAGTGCTTTTCAGGCTCTGAATTTCATGTGGGTACCTCCTGTATTCACAAAGTTACGAGGACTTAAATATGCTGGAAGAAAATAATGCAAATTAAACACTGACTAATTCGCAGTTTTACTCTTATTTTCTATGACAGACACTCTCACACACACACACACACACACACACACACACACACACA